AGAGGTACATCATGCAGTATTCAGAGCCAAACTGTGTTTCTGAAATAGAAGCAAGTATGTATTGTCATGATCAATAGCATTGCAGCAAGGTGATAGTGATCAGTTGACAGTGACAGAGATAAGAATGAGGCTGATTAAAAGGAACCACAAAATATATTATCAAGTGTTGATTTATGATATTTGAATAACACAAAAGCATTCTTTCTTTTGATCTAAATAAATGAACAAACCAAAATGTATTGTCTGCTTAATAACTTTGTATTCGTTTTTTTAATGGTTTGCTTTCATTTTTTCCCCTCTCTCTTTTCAGAATCATAGATTCTAAGGTTTCTTCAGCATTTTCAGTAAAGTACAATTCCTCTATTAATTCTAAAAGTTGATTTCATTTTTGACGTCTTTACATCACATATAAACCTCATTACACATACTTATTTTCCATCTAGGTCATTTTACAGTGGGATACATTTTGGGTCAACCATACATTAAAACTGCTTTGGTGAAATTATTGTACTGTAGCATTAGTGAAGAAACACTGAATGCAAGGCTACCTATTGTGGAAAAATTGTGTGTGGTCTGTATTAAGTTGTAAATTTCTGGGTCTATTTCAACTGTGACCTATTGTTGCCTTTAAATGCATCGTTGGGTTTTATGAAAGGAGATCTATCACACAGAAATTTTTCTAATCTCTATTATGCAGCAGCTTATTTTGTGTATGAGAATTGTCGCAGCTGTTTCTGAATAGGTTTTAAAGTGAAAACAGCTGGTTGCATGCAACAATAAAAAACTAAATAATAAAAAGCCATTTTCACGTACATTTTTATCAGTGCCTTGGAATTTCCTATTTTGAAAAGTTTATGAAACAGCAGGATAAAGAGTTTTATCGATATGACTCCTCGTCACTTATCGTGTATCCTCATCATTTAGGTGGCTTTGCTGTCCTTGCCTTTAAAAAGAAAAGAAAAACTTTAGCAAGCAGAAGTTCATATAAGGGGTTAAAAGAATGAAAACAAGGCCAGATGCCTTTCTTCCCAGATGGATGATAATCACTTCCTTATTCAAGGAACTGCAGCTTAAAGATGAAGTGCTTCATAATACTTTAAAAATAGTTTATACATAACCCAGAAGGTCAGTACAGTGTGAGCTTAGCAATGATAGTGCAAGGCATTCTTGCGGTAAAAGGCTGCTCCTGTTAAAGATAGGGATTGTGGAAAGGAAAAAAAATCCTCTGAGTACTATTATGGTCATTATTATTGAGGAATAAGTGACAAAAATAAAGACAGTTACAGTACATACGCTATATCATTACAGAATCCCATAGTCTGTAATGTAGCCATATTTGTATACCTACGATAATTTAAACTTAATATTATTTTACACTTTTTTTATCTTCATATACAGACTTCTGTAAAATACTGAATAAGTAAATACAATTAATCACTTTACTTACCTCTACTCCCAACTAGAACTATTATACTATAATATTACTTACAGTGCACTAAAAACATAAATAATGCTTTCAATATTAATATTTAAATATATTGTAACATTTTGGAAACTATGTACTATTAATTTCCAAATTTACTTTGTCATTAGTGTTTTGTAATTGAAAGAGATTTTTTTGCGATTGTCTCTGTATCGGTAAATGAAGACAAATTAATATACTTAGTTTGTCATTTGAATATATAGACGTAAGGCCCAATATGCAAACCACACGGAAAAAATAACACACAAACATAGGAAGCAAAGGGGATTTAATTACTAAGGTGTTTTGAATGGAGAGTCTTTTGACTTTAATTCCACTGTTATTTACACACTAATACAATTACACAATTAGTGATCTCTGTCTTTGCAAGTACAGGGTAATAAAGGTCTATTCCAGTGCTCAGTGGACCAAAGCTCATCCTGCTTACTGTAGCGTTAAACAAACTGAAGAGCACATGACTTCTCCCCTGGATAGCATGCCTGTCCATCGCAGGAATAACACCCCTTCAGTCATGCTGGACCCCGCTTATGCAGGGGGATGGATCAGAGCAACTTGGTTAAAGTGCAAGTACTTTACTTGAGGGTACAACAGTAGTGTCTGCAGCAGGGACTTCCCCCTGCCACAGTACATAGAGTAGCTCTGAGAAGACCCACGAACTGTGTGATATCAGCTATTGGCAGTGCAGACAATGTACTGCTGCCTGTCAGACCAAACATCAGTTTCTGAGGAGCATGTCCAAGTTCCTTCTGATAGCTTGCAGTCATGCAATCCTGATTCAGGTCTACCTAGGGAAGCACAGTGGTACTCTATGTCACATTTACTGTGGCTACAGTAGGCAAAAAAAAGAGCATCTGTTGTGCTTTGGGAAGAAATGTGGGTCTCGATAACACCGGAACAAAGGCTAGAAAAAACTTGACACATTCTCAAAACCCAGTGAAAGGCGTTCTGACAGTACAAAAAATAAAAACCGACTTGCTTTAAGGTGGTAACATCAACAAATTTGTGACATTCTCTTCACATTTAATAATAATAACAATAATAATAATAAGAATAATAATACATTCATATAATGCATTTCATTACAGTGAATCTCTATGCACTTCATGTAAAAAGCTATAAGAAAAGTCAGGAAACTAACAGTTATTAGGAAAGAAAAAAGGAAATCAGACAATTTATAGCACTGGAAGTTGGCAAACATGCTGGTACTGTAGTTTTAAGAAGATATATCATGTCACAACACAGTTTTAAGTTAATATACAATTAGTTTTTTTTATAAACATCTTTATAAAAAAACACTGCATGTACTGTATGTTTAAGCAGATCCACTCTTTTTTGCATTTGGAGTTTTTTGAGATATTTTTTTCATTTTTTTAATTTTCATTAGCAGAATAAACCGTCAAAATGCACACATACAGTACAATTAATTGGGGAAAAGGGTGGAAAAGTAAACATATTTGAATAATGAGGGAACATATCTGATCATGCTGTCACAGTTCTTGCATTTGAAAATGTAATGTAGCTGTACTTCTTAAGAAATTAATCTTGGTCTAAAAATAATTTTAGAATTTTTCTTATAAGCCTCTATAAGGTCTCTTATAAGGTCATAAAAGCTCACAGTAAGTGGAGCAAACAATGCAAAAAGAAAAGTGTGAAAGTGTGAAAATACAACAGAAGTACAAATCTCACTGGTTTTATACGGTACGTCAATTTTCAATCAATTTTCATTCATTTTTTATGTTTTATATGATTTTGATAACCATGTGGTATCTGAAATGTACTGTATTCTCTAGCAACAAAGGAACGTTTTCATTGCATAAAAGAGCTCACAATGTAATACTTAGAAATTAGTTTATTATGCTACTTCCTTTAAACATTTGTGATAAATCCAATAGGTGTTGTTTGAGATATCTGAAGAACATTAGAGCATTAGAGAACATCTGGAATTGCTGTCCTTACTGCAAGAACTAGCTTAGAGTTTTGCAGGATTGATTCCTCACCATGAAACACTTGTACAGTCTTACAGTAGTTATGGCAAGCATTTAATGCAAATCCAAAAGCTATGGTAGGATAACATGCAAAGCACTTCTGAAGGTCACCAGCACACTCAAATTAGAAGCCAGAATACTGGCTTAGTGAGCTTGTGAAAGGCAGCATGAATAATATTCTCCAGTTGAATAATAATAAATATAATTATAATTATTATATAAATCATAATAATAAATTGAATAAGGGCCGGGGTTGAGGGGAAACATTTTGTTTTTTTGTAGTACCGAAGAGTGAGAGAAAAAAAGAAAGGCTTGTCTGTATTCCTGAGTAAAAAGCCATGTACAGTACTACATTCACTGGTGTTGTTATGATCGTGTTCTTACTATGAATTACATCGATTGATTTACCAAACTGATGTGCCAAACTGTTAAAACAGGAATATAGTATAGCTTCTGACACCGAAACATAGTAAGGCAAAATGTTTACTTTTCATTTTAATTCCTAATGAATTATTCTTCTGTGTACTACAAAAGAATGTGCAGTGAAACACACAAAACTTACAATACTTCGGTTTGGGAACAAATCCATGAAAAAAATTCAACTTTATTTTTTAGTTGCAAAAACACTATTTGAACACAATGTGAATATTTTGTAACTTTCCCCTATACAAAACATATTTAAACCCAAAACCAGTAAGCAGTGGAATTTACAGGTCACAAGTACTGTACAGTACGTTGGTTTCCAGGGTTCCCTGGGGCAAGAGTAGTGCTGATCAGCTTTTAATAGAATTGTTTTTAACTAGTGAACTGTTCCATCTTACTTTGTAAAAAAAATTAGCAGGAATGTTTAAAATTGCAAGAATAATTTATATAGCATTTTGTTTGCAACAAAGGATTTCCTGAACTTCTTAAAAATCCATATTTATTATTGCCATCCCTATGGCTTAATATCATTTGTCATTTAAGATTTTGAAAAGAGAGAATGCCTTCATCAGCTTCATCTTTTTTACTGCCTGTACTGTAAAACATTTGGTCAATTCAGAGAGGGTGGACATGAGCCTTTAGCACAGCTAAGTAAAGCAAAGTTTAGCAAAGGGGGCCGGGAAGCAATAATTAAAGTTTCTGCCTAAAATATTGAGAATCAGTGTCATTTACTTGTTATTATTGGGCATCATTCTAAATAGCAGAACCTCTATATGTCACCCCTGAAATCTAGGAGAGCTTCTTTATCATAGTTCTTTGATTAAAATGAAGATATGTATTTAATGAAAGTATTTTGAGTCTCCAAGGACAAAGGAGGAGTTTCTTTGCATCGTAATTGGCTGTTCTGTTTCCGTGCCCCACAGTTCCATCCTTTTGCTGTTTGCAGTTCTGCTGGAGATATATATGAGAACAAAAAGCACTTAGTGAGTTTAGTAAGTATGCTCATTGCGAAGAGGTTGGTGTGTTCTAAATTAAGAGGCCCTAATACGAACTCTATACTGTTCTTCCATTTATTTTTCATCAACTTACATGGATATTCTTTCACTTAGTCTGATGTTTTGAAGAGACAAATTATGAACTTCTGTGCAAGAAGAGTCACCTTGCCTGCGATTACTCCACTGTTTCTTCAAAAGCGGGTAGGATCTTTATATTTGCTATTTATACAATTTATTCTCACAGCAGCCCTCAATTCTACTACACACTCAAGTATTCAAAATAGGATTAAATATAATATACCAGTAACATAGAAAAAACAAAACATGCAGGAATAAATTTAAAAAAAATGTGAGTACATTGTGTTGGTACAGTACTTGTACTTGTTTTAAAAGGTTAACAAATTAGTCTCTTCCTCAGCGTTATTTGTGTTTAAAATTCAGGCATGCATAAAAACCAGATGCTGTTTTTTTCCTACATTGAATATCGACGCAGAGTGAATATGTTATATAACCTTAAAGAACACATTTAGAGCAGGGTACCAAGACACAACTGTATTACACTGCTTCGGTTTACTGTACATTGCTGAATAGTTATTTTGGTTTCTTTAGCAGGTTGAATAATTTTAAACTGAGTGTTGTAAACCTTGTAACATTCAATTTAAATTTACAGCCTTTTCCATATATTGTTTTAAGTCACCTTGGATATAGATGGCCTCTAAATAATATACTTGAAAGTATTTAAAATAATTTCACAGTTTAACAAGTATCTTTTGTACAACAAAGTTGGTTTATTTAATTACACTGCAGTATAATGTTTCAGATACTTTTACCATTTAGGTTTTTTTTTTTGCCTTTGCTTGAAACTGTTATGATTTTTAGCATGAAAGCCCACACATTTTAGTTGAAGTATACTGTATTTATTACTGAAGCTGGAATGTGACAGGCATTTTAACTGCTTTTAAAATATCTGAACTGAGTAATATAACATTACGGCAGAATGGGGGTCTAGTGGTTAGCTTTGCTGCCTTGTACCTGTTCTAGACCTGGGGTGCTATCTGTGTGGAGTTTTTATATTCTCTAGGTGCTCTGTTCAAAGATATACTAGTAGCTTACAGTAATTGGTTTCTGAAAAATTGGCCCTGGTGCTAGTGTGTGCGCCCTTTGATAGACTGGTCTGGGTTGTATAGTCTCTGGCTCCTCCATGACCCTGAATTGGATGAAGTGGTTAGAAAAGTGACGGATGGAATATATAGTTAATTTCTGGACACAATAAGATGCATACCTCTTGTGGAGCCGCTGGCAGAAAAAAAAGTAGGATATTTCATATTACCCACAAATCCCAGACAGAAATTTGTGAACAAATTTCTACAGTTTTAAAATTCACTTTCTGTATTTCATTTACGTTTCATTGTTTTATGTCTGAATTTTATTTTTCATTGGAACAAGTGATTTAATATGTGGAAACAAATGTGCTTTTGAAAATGATTTATGTTTTGTTCCAAGTAATTTAACTTCATCTGTTGACTGTAAAATATAGAGTGGAACACACTGGCCTTCAAAAATTGTTATTATTCTTTTAAGGAAATGTGATCGCTTCATCTGCTGCAACAGTTCAGAGAATGGACTGTGAGTAGGTACTGTAGGTAAATAAAGGCCTGTTGAAGCATGTCACCTCATACCTCATTTGGTTCTCATTAAACATGGGAAAATAAACAACAGGCGAGAGAGATCAAATAATAAAGAAATTGGAATAGGTTCTCAAAATGTGACTCTCTGGATCTAAAGGCAGATTTAACTGATACTTTGTCACTCTGCAGAGCATATTGATCTATCTATACTCTGCCTGCTACCAGACAAGACTGGACTGCCTGGCCAAATCCTATTGATTTTCCTTGGTTAGCCAAATGAGAGCAAACAAAGAAAGATATCATGCTCCAATAGCTTGAGGAACTATAACACCATTGCCAGGAGACTTTACAGTTGTTAAGACCTGTGTCAATTGTGCTGAAAGTTGAAAGAACAGCAATGAACCATAAAGATTTTTTCATATCGGTGGAATCTGTTTTAATTGCTTTTACTGTTGTTGTTTTAGTATGGCATTTTGTGCCAAGTTTACTAATTTACTACATAGCTAGTATAGAAGAATAAGTTTCCCAGATAAACACTTACTGTAAATACTTAAACCCTTAGTTCTGTTGCAATGAAAACAATATCCTGTACTGTGTATTCAGTAGAAATGTCTTGCCATTTTGACAGACTCAAAAAGGAAAGTCAGTAATTCACAACAGAAAACAGTCTATCTGGTTTTCAATAAGCGTGTGCGTTTTTTCAAATACATTTTTATTTTATAATGCAATGAATTTTATGAAGGAGGTAACCGTATATTTCTAAAAAAAATAAACAATCAGCTTGATGAATTCATGATTTGTGTTTTTCCAACTGAATTTCATGCAAGGGAAACACTCTCACATTATGTGTTAAGAGATACAGTATCTAAACAATGCAAATGCATTGTGAGAAAAGCATACTAGCCTGGAGGAAAGGAATGAAAATAGATCAGAGCCCAATTGCCCTTTATTCACAAATATGTACAAAGATGAGAAACTTTGAGAACTGAGTTTCTTTCTAGTTTTTGCCTCACTTCAAAGCTGTTATGTTCGCAGGCTTTTAAAAAGTCTTTTTTAAAAGGATTGAAAAGTGGCGAGCCTGTGGGTTCTGTAGTGGAAAACAGATGTGTATGAAGTTTTTAATTCCTTTTTGAGTCTAAGCAGATTAGTTTTGCTTTTATTGAATTACACAATGTACTAGAGGTGGGCTACATTAATTACTGGATCAGAAGGTTTTGACAAAAATGAGATTTGATTGCAATTTAGTCATAATGTGAAAATGAAGAAACAGCTTTAATGAACTGATGAGAAAATACTAAAGTAAACTTTTCATTGGATAATAAATTGATTAGAAAATAAAAATATAGTAATTGTGTGAAACAATGCAATTTTTTGTCATTCATAATGTGAATGTGGGTACCGGCTTAATCTAAATAATTACAATTTAAACAATATATAATCATTTTCATAGACTTTTATTTAATACTGCTGTAATAACCACTTGCTACTACAAAATCTTAAAAAATCCTTCCTTCTGTGATGATATATTATGATTAAATATATTTTTGTCATTTGCCTTGACTTTTATCTACAGTAAGTTACAGGACTATAAGCCAATTGTAACTATTTCTTCAAAGCTCTAACATTTTAGTTGTCAGCAGATTTGAATTTGTAATCTTTCTCCAACAGATGCCAAAACACACAATTTGAACTTAGAATAGGATACTTTAATGACATACAATTATAAGCCTTACAATAAATCAGCTGCAAAGCGTGGTTATTTATGTCCACTTTTCACAGTGCGAACAGTTTGACAAGAGGCAGTCAAAAATACAGACAATATGTGAGCCATAACGTAAGCCACTGTGGAAAAAAAAAAAGGGTTACTGGTGAGAATAAAAGTAAATCTTGTCTATAAGTGGATGGTAAGCAAAACACGTCATTGTCACATTTAAAAAGAAAGTCTATGAAATGCAAAGTTGACATCAGTTTTTTGTACATTGTGAGAATGGGTAAATAGAACTTTCATCATTTGAAGTTCTGGATATGTTTTTGCCAAGGTTCACATATTTCTTTTACCTCAGCTGAGAAAAGAATAATTAAAATGATTTTAACGAAGTGCAGGGGCAGTGTAGCGTGATGGTTAAAATTTCTGGACTTTGGTGGGTACTGTACATTACCCCAAATGCTCCAGTGCAACCAGTTGTATGAATGGGAACCAACAATGCTGTGTGTAGGCCCTGTCTTGGAATGGTGCCCCTTATCTGGGAAGTGGGGGTATTGACTATTTGCTCTATGATTGCTTCATGTCTACAAACCGGGGTAAGCTCTGGTACGATGAGACTGGAATGGAATTACCTTCTTAAGGGCATAGAATAAGCCTACAACAGAGGTGCATTTTGGAAACTGCAAAGCAAATCTCTGGCGACAAAGTCTTTCAGCAAAATAGCTGTTCTGATTAACATTTTGCTATACAATAAAAGAGAGTTTGAAATTCTTGTGAATCAAAGTATACACTAGTGGAAAAAAAATGTAACAAGCCATGATAAATTGTGTACTCTGCAGCTGTGGGAGTGGAGTTCAAGGCAATACCAGCCCTGTGCTATTAGAAACTCTTATCCATTAGTTTGTCCTTCAGATACAAGGGCTTAAAGAATATAGTATTGTTAATAAGCTATGTGCATTTCTGTATAGACTAGAGTTTCAAAGCTACAGTAACTAAAATAGCTATATTGTTTTGTTGATGTTGTCTTGTAAATTTCCTTTCTTTCATGCCCTTTGTTTATATAGGGCTTCGCTGACAGTCAACTTTACTGCTGTCAACGTGTATTGCTGGAATGTTGTTGTGATAACTATCATCATATGTTTCTGTCCAGCCATATTAAAAAACTTATTGCAGATATTTAAATAATAATTATATTATATTAATAAAATATTAATTTTCTATCCCCTCATTGGGAATCTTTTTGTATCTGGAATGTTGCAGTGCCATCAACATGAACATCAAACATTTTATTGTGAATAAAATCCACATATATATACTCCTATATCCTGTTATCCAGCAGTCCAGCATGTGGCCTTTTCCATGTAAAGTGCTCTGTATTTTACAAACTGTACTTTGTAATTACTTTATATTTTATATTACATATTTTAATAATATATATATATATATTATATATATATTATAACAATCCTAATATAATTAATAATTATATAATTATTACTAAACTATTTGTAAAACTAATTTGCATTGCATTGTCTAGGGAAACCATTCTTATTTAAAATAAATATCCAGCTTCATTAAAATACCTTGTCGAGAGTCCGGTTCAATAACTACAGAGTTTTGTAAGGACATAAGATTACTTAATTACTAAACAAAGTAAAATCAAGGCACAGCTCATCTAATTGGATGATTGGCCCTTTGAGGGAGTGAAATTCCACAGGAGGGAGAAGACCTATTATGATAGTCTCTGACTGGAGTTTGCAACTATATAAGAACAGCCAGAAAGACATACACACGTATTCTTTGTCCAGGCTCTAGAGAGTAAGAAAGAAGAGTGTGAGCTCTGAAGTGAGGACAGTGAGTTTAAATAG